ACAACTTCATATTGAACGACTACAAAATTTGAGGCTGCAATTTTTAAAATGTTGGAATGAAAAGGAACTGGTTTATTGAGTAAGACGAAGTATCACTCCGATATACTTATCAATCTATTTTTTTTGGAATTTTCGAAAAAAACAATGAAAACATTTTGGGATGGCTGAATGATAGGTGCATAAATACATTTCTGAAATACCAAAACGACTTAAAGGAAAAATTCGCCCACATGGTAAAGAGATGCGAACACATGCTTTTTTTGTCATGTTTCCCATTTGATTTTTTATATATGGTGGGGTCATTACAAATTCAGAAGTAAATAATAATCAGCAGATTATGTCATAATACGATATACTAGTTCAAAGTATTTTTCAACACTGCGGTCCAAGAATTTCCAACCAAAATCCAGCAATAGAAAACAGACAATTATTATTAGGGGTGTGGTCTATAAGCAATATTTTATCCAGGTATTTATTGTTAAGAGTTATGGTTTTCAGCACCATTAAGTAACTCAACCCCAATGCAATTTAAAGTTGATACTCCGAATCATTAATCAGCTTCGCAAAAGTTAACTAAAATCGTTTTAACCCGCCTCCGACGCAGCTTTAATTAAATTTACATTGTCTTGTGGTAAAGGATAGAAGGTTCATCGATCGTTTGCCAGTCTAGTCAAAATACAATTTCGTATTCAAAACCGTTTGTCATTCTTCGCCGAAGATGTGGCTTAGACATCTTGGGGCGAATCACCCAAATTGTTTTGTTTATATGGACCACTTGCGCTTCAGTCATAGAAAAAATATTTTTCGAGTATACCTAACTTGCGGTGCATGCAAACAAAACAGAATAAATAAATTACCTCTAATTTAAGTTGAACGGCAGGTAAAGTAAAATCCCGAAGAAGTTGTCTAAAAAAATCCTTCTCGCTCTACAGGGTATGAATGTAATGCGTGATGAATTTGTTTTTTTTTTATACATTGCGTTGGTACAGAGATATGATCATTTTATGAAATTCAGTTTTTTATTTTTATATTGTTTAGACGGCGTCTATTATTGTTTAGCTCTAATGATAAAATTCAAAAGGAATTGAAAACGAAGTGCTGAGCTAGCGATCGACCGAACATCATAAAGAACTTTACCCCATGCCAAATCATTCGCCAACATTCACACCATGTATAACGCGAAGAAATTTAACAAAACATCCGACACCACAGGCTGAAAATCCAACATCGGCAAAGAAATTTGGATTTTTTATATAACTTACAGGGTAAACAACAATAGTAGGTTTTCTATCGTGATGCTTACATACGCAGTACAATTTTTGTTCCCTGCTAGTTTTTATAACATTTTCAACAAATATCCAAATTTTTCCATATGAAAGTTTGATTGCTAATTTGATAAACTGTTGACTCTTGCACGTGCGTCGAGAATATTATTATGTTTAATGGAACTTAACAGATGCGGCAGTTCATAAATTTAATGGACTACCGGAAACAATCACCGTAATTCTAGCGCGAGCTTTGCTAAACTTTACCAGGATGTGCGAACAGTATACGAGAGAGCTTTATTGTTCGCTAAACAAACGAAACGCCAGAAAAGGAAGACAATTTCGTTGGAAATTTACGACAACTAAAATGTGTGCGTCAAAAATTCAATAGCATTTTTAAAAATCATCTAAATTTTAATTTTATGAGGTAAAATAGAAAAATTATGACTCGATAAAACTGTCCAATTAAAACAAAATAATTACTGCAACGCTACTAATTTGTGTTTTAACATGACGAGCGAATGATATATAGGGTTATTAGCTCTGAACATTGCACGGAACATTGTGATCAAAATACAAATTATACCGATTGTCTCGAAAGTTTCAAAGACGGATTTTCTGTTATGGTAGTATATTACAGCATTTCCAAATTTTACAATGCCACAATCATAATGTATCTTTTTAATAGGGTTTTTAATGTCTATAAACCACGTAAATTCTTTAATTTTACTCTTTTAAACACCAAACATCTAGCAAAACATAAGTCAAACAAGGACATGAACACATTTGAAAATGTCATTTGTTTATTATAATTTGTTCTCTTTGTTTAATATAATTAAAATATAATATTTTGACAAAAAATCAAAGAATGAGTTTAAGAAATTAATAAGATAAAAATCCTTTTCAATTGAGACATTGTCAAGCATCATAACAATCAGGCAATGACGAGCACTATTTGCATTCCATCTGGCATTTCTGCCTTACAATGATGGCCCAAAATGCATAGTAATTTGCATATTTCACACCAGCAGCCGCTGCGAATGCATGGCCTTACCTTTCGAACCAAACCTGCTGGGATAAAGTTCCATTATCTACTGAAAGGGAAATTAGAATTTCGGTTTGCGATTGGCGAGTAGAATGTTTTAAAAAAAGACAATATTACTAATCAAAAAACGAATGGTTTTCATAGAAATCCGTTTATAAATTTGGTTCACGCATAGTTCATCGGCAGCTAATAAAAAATGGATTTAATTATCGATACAATACAGTTAGGCACGCTATACTAAATAAAGAAAAAACAGAACGATTACCTCCACACGCGCGCATACGAATTTAAATGGTATTGGGTACAACAGGAAACAATGTTGAATTAACGCGCATATCATTTAGGTCTCAGGATTTGGTTAAATTCAAAAACACACTGACGAAAATTCACTCTACAATCGCCACAGAATATTATTTATATTTCTACATCGTTTCCCAAACGGTATTCGAGGCAACTGAAGCTTTCTGCCATTTGTACTCGAGGGGCAAATCACCATCCCAAATTGGTACGCCAGACTTCACACAACCAATAAGATTTTACGGATTTCATTGAAATCTAATATTAAAATATTAACAATAATTTTACGAATTTCACGGGTTTTGGACAGTAATTTGTAGATTACGTGGAAAATTTTCTATTCCGTCGTAATTAAAAAACTAACTTTTAAAGTAAAATAAAAATAAAAAATATGCTTCTTTACGGCAGTGTTAAATTAATAAATATAAATCTTAAAAATCCCACAAACATAAAAATAAAATTAAAAAAAAAAAGAAATTTTGTTTTTTTTCTCTTCTACCTTAAGTAAGTAATTTTCTTCGTAGAATTATATATACTCGTATATATATATATATATATATATATATATATATATATATATATATATATATATATATATATATATATATATATATATATATATATATATATATATATATATATATTAATATAGATTGCCTTTTAAATGCAGCCAAATAAAAGAAAATCAGTGAAAAATTTTATCCCGGAATAATATTTCATCAATGATAATTTTCTATTAGTTTATTGAATAGAGCGCAAAAAAATCTAAATAAAACGTCACCAATAAAATTCGTTTAATTTTATAATATTTATGCTTATATGGTCACCAACCGCTATTTGTCAACCAACACATCAAATACAGGCATATTTTTACATTAATTTGTTTACTACGTCTAATAAGAGTTGAGTCTTTATAACATATTCACAAACATTTTACAATGTTACAAAATCTAAGAAATTTATATTTGAGTAAGTTTGTACCTATATATGTTTTCCTACCTATATAAGTTTTCTTTTTAAACTTGTTGTATGACTTTCCATACACTGTTAGATATATAAGCATATAATCTCTATAAGTTCACGGATAACAAATATTTCACACATTTCACGGATTTCACAGACTTGTAAGCGTGATTTAGCCCTCGATGTTAACTAACAATTATGCGTTATGCAGTCAATATCAAAATCACATGCTTACCGCACAGAGCATTGCCAGATTTAAAATTAGTAACGAAGCAAATAACTAACCGATGGTTTTAGAAACATAAAAAAGCATTCTCAATTTAACATTCAAATGTTAATTTGCTAATGCATTAAAATTACACTTTTAAAATTCCCCACATCATTACTATGTCAAATTGTCAACGTTACCTTTTGTTTTATTTGCGAGTTGACATGTTGATGACGATTTTGTGAAATTTACGAGAGAAGTTTTATAAAACGCAACAATAGTTTTATCTTAAACCAATTTATCCCATCGCACTTTCTAAAATACATTAACACAAATACATTAATGACCTGCGCGGTCTCCTGCAGATTACAGCAAAAATTCGCATTGGGCGTCGCTTTTAAACCTATATACCTAAAGAACTAGGAAATAATGATCCGAATAATTATTCTTTGTCAATGTTGTGTGCGATTTTATTTAACAGCGAAATCCAAACCTACGTATTCCGCTTCTTCCTCTTCGTGTATTAGACCTTGGGCCAGTTCTTGGTCGATCTCTTTTTTTTCACCTTTGGTCTGGTAGTTTGATGCCGATTTGCCTATTTGTGTTACATGTGTTACATGCTTACAGAGGTCTCTTATTTAATTGTTCGGGATTCTGTCTCTTAATGGTTTAATTTCGATGTTCTCAGCTAAGTATTATTTATAATAATAGAACAATCTATTTCATTCAGGATCTAATATCAAATACGTAAATTGGACAAACAAATGTCACGGGCTTTATTTACTCATAAAGTCGATAAGTGTGATTGAAAGCAATACGGGTTTTACCAGCAGCCGCCTCATAATTGCAAGGCTTCCGACATTCAATAAACATTTATTTATCGTTGTCCCACCAAAGGTCGTCTTGTTACAGAATGGAATCGGAATTATTACCGTAGATGAATCATTGTAATTACAAATACGAGCACGTTGGCAAACATATACGCGGATGACATTTGCGGATTTTAACAAAAAAAAAAACTCAATTTTAAACCAGCGTAAAAATAATAAACGAGGAAAATTTATTTTTATAAGACGCAGAAGCTTTCCGACGAAATTAACGACACGGAAAAATCGATATTAATGCAAGATTAATTTAAACGCCACTAAAAATGTTGCTTTATAGTTATCACATGGATCAGTCAAGCCCGTAAGTCAACAAAAGCGTTTTGCTTACAAAAAAAAAGATCGCTTATAACGTTATTGATGTTGCGCAGCATTTAACAATTGACGTAAATCTGTGTTTACAACGTCCAAACACTACAGAAATTAAATATGAGAATGTGCAGCAATATACACCTGGCTATTACTAGTGAGTAACAAATTCAAAGTTATGTTGTCGATTTCAATTTCGTTAAAACATTTGCTGATTACTGTAAAAGCTCATTCTTTAGCAGTCTATTTCGTTCTATACAATATACTCAGACTAGATGGATAAGAAGCTCCGACTTCTTAAGCCGAAGAACGAATGGAAGGTGCGAGCAAGAAACAAATAAGACTCGAAATAAAAGAAATAAAACCTATGACGGAAAACGAAAAAAAAAATGTTATAGGAAAGTGCTTGTGCTGTAAATCGCGATGGATCATGGTCCCAAATGTTGTCTTTGCAGATATCGGTGTTCGAAAGACTTGACGTAATGGCGATGATGGATAAATGTGCCAACTTGTTGGATATGAATGGCGTAAATCATGAAAAGACCAACAAAATGTTTTGGAACGCCACCAAACTTATTCAAAGGTTACAGTCACATAATTATTGCCTGTTGGTCTCTGTTTCATTATACGATGGTAGAAGTTTAAGTAAGGTGCCCTTAGGTCAGACATTTCAATTATTTGGGAAAGGAATTTTTAACAATCTCCAACTTGAATAGCGGCAATAATTAATCTTTGTAAAAAACAATAAAAACCTTTTTCATCTTTTCTCACCCTACAACACAAACAGCTGACGAGATTGCAGCAGCTGTTCCGTCCAAAACCAAACACATTAAAAATGCAGACGTTAGGTGCGCTTCGCGGTGATTACAAAACATTTCTTCCTTGACCCAAGCTGGACGATTGTTAACCGATAAAGTAACCGCCATTTTGCCCAAAAATATAAGGTACAGTTTATTAACAATCACTTCTAGGAACTTAGTCGAAATCCAAAAAGCTCGCTAGGAATGTAGAATGCAATACTAAGGAACTACAAAATCATCAGTATTGGTCGATGCCCGAGACAGTAAATTACCTTTAAAGCAAGTACACCCCATAATGTAGCCCATCATCGAGACCAGACGGGGCTCCCCGTCCTCGCACTAGGTCGTCGTCTCCGCAGGAGCCTCGCGGGCACCCGTTGTCAACTCCAGACTTCCCCATTCGCCTCTGAGCGAGGCTAACGACACATTTCCCCAACATAAAACGCGCGTTTCTAAAAAACGTTTCGACAGCGCGATATATGGAAACACCGTATAGAAAAAATAAACGCGGTCGCAGGACGACGAAACCGTCGCAGGAATCCAATGGTGTTTCTGTTGTGCCTTTCAGGACGAAAAATGCGAACGCGGCGATGGAAACGCGCGCGCTGCCTGACGGTAGATGCGTGAACTAGTTCGCTGTTGCGCCGACGGCTCTTGGACGACATCAGGGGGGAATAGGTGGGGGAGGGAGGAGGAGCGCGGCGCATCGACGTTATGCAAGGTTCCGTTTCCCGGTTTACATTTTGCACTTATTTGCCGACTTTAGAACGAAAGGGATCGATATTTTTGTTTTCAAACAAAGGGCCCACGATCTGACACTTGCGGGTGATACTGAACTGATCAGTCTTGGAGGCGCCCCAAAGGATACGGCAATGCGAGTTGCGAGCTAATTCAAACTGATGGCGAGCTTAATAAGAATTTTAACCTCTGTTTCATTCTTCTTCTAATTTATTGCTTGTCCTAACCTGCATTCTAGACCTGTTTTAGAGGCAGCGTGGACTATCACCTATTTTAAAAGTGTCTTGGTCAAGTCAGAACTTCTCAAAAATAAGTAAGAATTTCTGGAAAACAAATCTGGGATCAGCCTATCATAAAGAACAACATGGAAATCATGGCTCATCCTCATCATCGCTGGATGGAAAAAGTTGTAGTATATGACAATTGCGCATTTGCGCTAGTTTCACATTATCATTTAGATAAAGATTAAATAAAGGTAAGTTAGATAAGCCGAGTTATGGTTGAAACATGATGAAAAGTTAAAAGACTGTCCATAAATTTTGACTTAACTGAGAAACTGACTTATTTTCAAGAAATAAGTTAGAAATTCTGACGTATTGCTCAAAAAATTAACTTATTAAGCTAATACCTATATTTTATCTTTGGTGGCCTTTCGTAATTATCTGCTAATCACATTAAAAATGTTGTTTTAGTAGTGGTGTAATTGGGTTGTAAAGAATCACGCTACGTTCCAGATAGCCATTTTTATCAGTTCTGCCTAGTTTTTTTTTTTAATTTTCCAAAAGTGGATACGATGGTAAAGATGAACCCACCCTCTTTTATCAATTCTAACTACAAAATAACAAATTTTTAGATGAGTTATTTTGTCCCCTCTATGTATAAATACATGTATGAAATACAACTTGGTACCATCGGAGAAATGTGACGATTTGATAGCATGACTCCTCATGTATAATGGAGATAAGAACACGGAGACCGATTGTAGAAATATCTAGACACTTGGGCAAATTATCAATCCTGGAACGAAATGAGCATGGCATAGTTGCTAATTCTTAATGGTAAAATAGAGCTAAAATACATCTGCGATAACACAATAATGATATATAAAGAAGTCATCTATAAAATGGGAGAAATCTATAGCCACCATAAATAAACATTTAAAAATGGGAGCCAGTTCCTTATGGAGAGATATATCACTGCTTCCAGTTAAGCTCCAATTTCTTACGTGCGGACAACTGTAATAATGATGATCGGTAGGAATTTATTTCACACAATATAAACAGTACGAACCATCCTGGGGTTTTATATAAACAGACTATTTAAACAAATCACTTTACAAATGGCAAAAACAGGAACATTAAGTAAACGGCCTCATATTGCTTCGAAATGTCAAAAATCACAGAACATCAAAACGAGTAACTGGGCTATGGGGAATAAAATCTCAAATCTGATAGGCCAATAAATATTACGCGCTTGTCGGGTCTCCTTTGGCTATAATGCCGGTTATAACGCTTTCCTTAACGACGTTTAAATGAATCCGTCGGCTTATAATTTTGTTCGCCAAAAAGATTAACGCTCTGACCTTTCGGACGCTTTTAATAATAGACGCTTGCATTTAATCGGTATAATATGAGCCAACCACAAAGGGCGTAATAAAAATAAAAAAATACGCGATACAGTCTTGACTCTGCAAATAACCATTTACCCGATATATTGATTTATTCCGACGCTTTCCTTAACTCATTTTGTCCCAGTTAATGCACCACCTATTCCATGACTTCTTTTTGTCACATCCAGGAATAATTTTTGCACTTCCATTTAGAAATTTTATTATCATCACTACTAAAGGACATAACACCGCAGAAATCGCTAATTTATGTGTAAAGGAAAGATCTTATATATGACTTCAAAAGTTAACAAAAGCGGTGCATAAATTTGTATCACATTTTCAAGTAAATCCATTTTTCTTAAATCTATAGCATGTAGATTACATCGCAGAAAACATACATTGGAAATACTATATTAATTATGCTTTATTTTTTGAAAATCTTTACTGGTGCGTGAATGCACCACTGGTTTTATCTGTGAAACAAATTTTTTTTATTGCAAGTCTAGACAAGTCAGCGACAAGTCAGCGCATGTAGAATAAACATCCAACAATTAGCGTGTTCTTTAGTATTAGTTTGTGCCTTGTGCAGTGAACGTTACAGTTCATAAAATATGGCATTTCCGAGGTATTTGACTCAAAAGGAATTAGAGGCGGCTATGGAGGAGATCGTGATGGATGAGGACAATAACAAGTATTATTTAGATTTACGTATTGTTATGTATTGTAGCATTCCATTCCTTGCAAATTTATGTTAAAAATAACGTGAAAAAATATTTACAGAACATATTGACGCGGTCTATATTCCACCAGACGTGGATACCTTGACTGACGAAGAAGATATGAATGATAACATAAATCTACAAGAGTTTGGGGAACCAACTGATATAGTTGGAAGTTTTGAGTTACATACACCGAATCATACAGCTGTCCTTCAATAGTCCTGTAATTCATCAAATACTGAACCTGAATGGGAATCCGATGATAAAACCCTGGAATTCAAAAGAAGACGTCTGCTTTCTGCAAACGACAGGCTTGCTTCTACTGTCAAATGGAAGAAAGGTCAGATTGAGTACACTCACACACCTATATCCGATGAATTTAGATCATGTAATATACTAAAAAATAGGCTTTCTGGAAAAACTCCGCTTGAAATATTTTTTATGTTTTTTGATGAAGTGATTGATTTGATTTTAAATCTTACATTGCTTTGCGACTTTTGAAAACTAATAAAATAATTACTCAAAGAAATCTTGCACCTGCCATAGATAAAGTGCGTTATGATAATCAAGGTCACCTCATGATTGTTCATGCTAATAAAGCCCGAAGGAGATGTAGAATCTGCCACAGCCACACAATTTACGTTTGTAATAAGTGTATTGTACATTTACATACTTCATGCTTTGTAAAATATCACCAAAAATGAAACCGGGTGTTACCAGTGGCGATACCAATATTATGCGATTTTTTGTATCAAATCAGGTTCTATTTGGAAAACAATGTACTTTTAGTTGTTTTCTGTCGAATTTAAACTTTCTTTTGTATATTTATGTATAAATTATATGTCACATCTTATATGCCCTAAAACATTATTTAATGTTTTTTCCCAGTGGTTCGTTTACGCACCAGTATTTTTTTGTATGTTTCGAGTTTTTATTTGTTTTTTTTTGACACATGTAATGTATTCTTAAGTGCAACCAAATAAATAATTTCAGAGTAAAAAATATATATATAAAAATATGGTTTAAAATGTAAAATTGTTTATTGCATTAAAAAGATTTTTATAAAAAAACAAACTGCAAGAGGCCTCTTTTCTAATCGACATTTAGAAAAATCCTTCATTTAAAGAAAACTTCCTCCTGCGTCGGTTTTTGTCGAGTCGAACTTGCTAACGTTTCGTCAATCATCCTGTTGGCTTCTTCAGAGCTTGAGTGAAACTATTTGCTGAGTTTCAGTCGAGCTCTGAAGAAGCCAACAGGATGATTGGCGAAACGTTAGCAAGTTCGACTCAACAAAAACCGACGCAAGAGGAATCCAGAAGTTTTGTAAATAGTAAAAAGGGTTTAATTTATTGTACAACATGTAGAAATTGGGAGAAGAGGTAGGTTTAACCTTTCAAAGGCTTGATAAACAACTGTAATATTAGAACCATAGACAAATTGAAAAAAAAAACGACATTTTAGTCCCATCATTTTTCTATTGATTTTCTATTGACCATAAGTTAAAATTCAATTCTTCCACATAGTCCTACATCGATAACCTAACCAGAAGAAACTTCCAATAGGTGAAAGACTTTATACAAATAAATTATAAAGTTTAATTATTTTTGAAGATATTAAAGATATTAATTTTTTTTAATGTTAAATATTACACCCAGTAAGATATTAAATGCATTTATTTCAAATAAGTATCTTTTCGTTTATGATTGGGAGTTGCTTGTCACTTTTATTACTGTTACTAATTATATTGTTTTGTTTTTATTTCCTTCCTTTCCAAATACATGAGTAGTATGCACTTTATTACACTACGTCAACTTCTATTTTTAACCACATTCTTCTACTTTTGCTTATAGGCCCTGGTGAAGTTTAAACGTATTAAAGGAAACGTCTGCCAAAAGTCAGATGTTCAAATTATTCTCCTAAATCACAACCATTCAAATTAAAAAGCATTTCCCCATATGAAAAAAAAATGGCAAGCAGAACTTGATCGGGTTTTAATTCTTATTTACCAAGAGCAAACAAAATTAATACAACGGTATTCACTAAGAAAATTTAGAATGAAAAGTCATTAAATCAAATTTTTAAGAAGAAAATTTTAAATAACCGTAAATATTCGTTTTACATCATACAACCAAAAAAAAAATCCAGTCTTCGAAGTATCATGCTTCCTGATATGTAGAATTACTAGCAAATCATCAATATATTTTTTCAGGCGTTCTAAAGTTTCAGAACGGACGGAAACTTCAAGCACACAAAAAAATCATAAAGCAAGCCTTAATTTTACCATCGGGTTAGACCACCCGCGTTTTAATTATAGTTCAGGAAACGGAATGTCCATTTAATATTTTTTCAACGTTGGCAGCACTCCAAAGAATTGTTAACCAATTTTAAAACACGAACGTGCTTATATTTACAAATAATGAATAAAAATATGAAATAATTGGAGAGCCATTAAACCGTTTGCGGAATTCGCAGTTTAATATTTTATTTCACTTATTTGAAAATGTAAACCAACGCATTGTAGCGGTTTCTCATTAATATTGCGCATTTTTTATATTAGTAGATTATATTATTTTTTATTCTTTTGAATTATTTGGAAGGTTATGTAGGGGTCTCCAATTTTTTCATTCAAATTCATTCAATTTCCAAGAAATCTTCACGTTTTGAGACTTGGATTCAGAGCTGTTTGAGACCCATAATCTAATGAAAAATCATACGAGTGAACTCATCTTTATTATGAATTGACTCTGGTTTCATAACTTTAAAATGCTATCACAACTTGAAAATAATTGGATGCTGGGCTTCATATTTACCCTATTAATGTAACAAATAAAGCTATGGTTGAGTAGGATGTATATTTAACGTTAATGATTCTCTAGCTTCGCGTGATAGTAAAGTAAGGCAAATTGTTTACAGTGAATCCGGGGTCATTAGTGTAAATCTTACTATTGTTTAATATGTAAACTGTGACATTTGTAAATTAAATTGAAATTTTGAATTTAATCTCGGATTTTGAACAACAAAAAAGTGATTTTTTCAAAGAAACTTTCACGGGCTACTGTAATAAATACTTTTCACAAAACTTCTGGATTCCTCCTGCGTCGGTTTTTGCTGAGTCGAACTTGCTGACGTTTCGCCAATCATCCTGTTAACTTCTTCAGAGCTTGACTGAAACTCTGTACCTGCCCATATATTGTTCGAGGGGGCGGAGCTAAATGAGGGGCATAAACACCGTCTAGAATGACTGATTCCTATATTGGTGACAGGTAGAGACCTGAGTCGCGGTTAAGATCGTTGTTTATACATTTCTATAGTCTCTCGGACATTTCGTTGGTAGAAGAACTGATTACATGCAAGACTTCTAGTTTTATCGAATAAAATTTTATGTCCGGTTTCATGAGTGTGTTCGGCAACAGCTGATGAGTTTATTTGTCTTAGTCGTAAGACTCTTTCGTGTTCATTGTTCTAGTTGATATTTTTTTTGTCCGGTCTCTCCAATGTATTCTTTGCCACATATGCATAGAATGCTGTAACCGACCGAAGATATTGAATGATTTTTGGACAAGTGGTAAATTTGGTTTTGAAGTTATACTTCTTTAGAAATTTTGATATGTGGTCAATGATGTTTTGAATGTAAGGAAGGACCACAGTGGCAAGTGTAGCATTACTTTCGGCCTCATTGCTATTGGAAGATTGTGGTGAAGTGTATTTTTTGATAGAACGCTTAGCATCTTTAATGTGGAAATTATTAGAGAGGTCGAATGGTGATGTGACCATGCATTAAGTTATCGGTCTGTGTGCGTAGGTTTTCTGTAAACACAATTTCTATTGATAAGAATCTAAGAATGGAAGGTTATTATTAGTTTCCAACTCAATGGTAAAATGTATGTATGTATGTAAAAATCTACTAGAGTTTCTTGACCATGAGGCCAAATAACAAAAGTATCATCGACGTAGTGTTACCATAATTTTGGTTTTAGATGAAAAGTGTCGAACGCTTTCTTCTCAAAGCTCAGCAAAAACCGATGCAGGAGGAATCCAGAAGTTTTGTTGAAAGTAACAAAAAAGTGATTCAGAAAAATCTACTTTTCGGTAATAATTTCGCTTCTTTTCCACAACAACCAAAACGATTGGACGTACTTACCGGAAGGGCTATTGACCTGGTTGGCCTGTGCGGCGAAATGGGGGTTTTGCAGGAGTTGCTGCTGCAGCAGGGCGTGGTTCATGGGCGGCAGGTGAGACGTCGGCGTCATCGACGGATAAGGAGGCGCTGGAGGTAACGATTGTTGATGGTACGTGGTCCCATGGTTCGGAGGAGCATTCTGTTGCAAATGGAGGTTGTTGTTATTGGGCAGCGGTGATGGATTCGGGGGCGGCGAATGAACATCGCCGGTGCCGCTTGTCGGAGGGTAATACACGGACGGGACGGGTTCAGCTGGAAGAGAAAAATATTCTATTCTTAAAACTAGAATTTCGTATTCAGCGTTTCAAAGCAATTCCGTGGCAAGTAAGGCCAGTTGCACACGCCGACCGTTCGAAAACCCGGAAATAGTATATTATGCAACAAGTGCGGTAAACGTCATTTGACTCACGAGTTTATTTGACACGAGCGGAGCGAGTTTTTAATAAACGAGTGAGTTAAAAAGTTTACCGTACGTGTTGCATACTATACTTTTTCTACGACCGTTAGTTTTTGGGTACATTTTCGCAAAACGACACGAATACATTCACTGACATGATCGTCAGAATTGACAAACGTCAAAATTCAAGGCATGGGAAATATCTCCGAAAACATTCGATTGCTCCCAAATCCGTGGGGTAAAATCCCGGAAATGTCCGAAGTGGCTCGGATTCATGGGAAGCGAAACTGACGTGGTAAAGTGGCGCTTAACGCACGCTAGATCGGTGGGTAATTAGGTATTTTAGAGACAGAGTGCGTCAAGAAGAAAGTATCATAATTGTTACAATACAATACAATAATTACAATTACAATAATTGTCTGACCTAGACACCTAGGTTTAAAAAACCTAACATTAGCTACTTCATCATCTTACAATTAAATTATAATTCAATCATAATTAAAATCAGAAAAGTTATGTTAACGAGACAATTAAAATTAAGCTTACCAGCCAAACCTGGAAGAGTTTACACATACAGGAAGCAGATTATAACATTTTGGCCCTAAGTAAATTATTGTGTCTGCTCGATTACTTTTAGGGACGATAGCATTTCTGTGAACATTAGCTCCAGTTTCATAATTATGGTTGATTAGTACCATAAAGTAGTAGAATAAAATTTCGGTCTTTTAAACATAATTTTCACTATAGCATTTTGTATTAAGATGAACACCTACGTACGATACTCTCCACCCGCCACCAAAAATATTAGAAATGCGTAGCATAGAAGCGGTTCAATTAATACCTCATAAATAACCGTAACATATAAAATTTATCCAATAAAAATGGAAACAGCTGTAAGCTTGTAAAGATCTATACATACTTACTGTTTAATTGTACATATTTTTTAATGAGTATTTTATAGATATTGTAAAATTCGTAAAATTTGCAAATAACCACTCGGTACAATATTTGTGAACGATTTCACAATGAATAGATATTAGTAATCCTTGACCAACTGTGGTACAAATCTTGTGCAGCTTGAATTTTGCAGAAATATTTTCCAAAAGATCACAATTGTCCGCCTCAGCGAAGTAAAATTACGTTTTTCTTAAGAACACTATATTAAATTTTTGCATTTTGATAATCTTAACAAAATTAAGAGTTTCGTAGTCTTTGGGCTTTGATAATTCCTTTCAAATTTAATTTAAATTATGTAAAACTTCAGTAGAAACATCAGAAGCTATTATCTTCATTCGGGTTTAACGCATCGCGCTTAACCAATTTATCAGAAACATCAGAGTTAACTTTCTAGCAGATAGGCAAAAGAGATTTAAAGCAGCAATGATATAACGATTATACCTATGAATTTGTAGGCATTCGATACAAAGAATGGCATGGGAGAAGTCCCAAAACTAAAAATAATCTCTCTGAACTTTGTCAACAAATACAACCTTGTCATTCTATTTCATAATTATAAACCGACTCGCATAAATGCAATTAAAGCATATAACAATCCTTACGTCCAAAAATTACGCAAAATGGTATTCGGAGAATTTGCACGAAGCAATTTTTTCCTAAAAAAATAGTAATTTGGATTTTTTATCTGTTTAACCCAAACACGCTTATAAATTAATCTGGTACGATTTTGTCAAATTCAAGCATACTTACAAAATTTTAATTCGTGTTTTTATGGCAGCCATTATACAAACACAATTTTTAAATTTCGAAACAATTCCCCGTAAGAAACTAAAAACAGTAACAATAATAGGCTTACTAAAAAAATTAAACGAAAGTGCATCTTTATTTCAAAAGTTTAATACAAATAGCCATTAATAAAACATTTTCCCATATGCGACCACACTGTATACAATCAACAAAAATGTAAATGTCTGGAGGCACGTGTTTAGCTGATGCGCATATTTCAACTCGCCATTTTTTTTAACACATTAACAAGGTCATAAATGCATAAAATAATCATGAACTACCTACCAAACACTGATGATACTAACACATTCCTTCAAACCACTATTATCAGTAGTTATTTATTACTTAAAAAAACGTGGGCAATTTTCAATATATTAATGTCCCCAGGTGCATGACAATTGCACTTTATGACAAAGCTAATTACGTGACGCATTTATCTCTTGTTGTGTGTTTATTCAATTCAATTAACGCAACATGACAAATGACAATGCCAATTATTATGATATATATATATATACATATATATATATATATATATATATATATATATATATATATATATATATATATATATATATATATATATATATATATATATATATATATATATATATACATATATATATATATATATATATATATATATATATATATATATATATATATATATATATATATATATATATATATATATATATATATATATATATATATATATATATATATATATATATATATATATATATATATATATATATAT